TCTGTGTTGGGCTTTTCAGGCCTTGCTGGTGTGGAGTCTCTAGATTCTGGTAGTGTCATATTGGTCTTTCTATTGCTGAGTGTGTTCTTATACTGTCTTCTTCCCATCCCTTCTTTGAGTGGGTGCAGGTGGGGTCTCTCTGTCTCCTCTGGTCTCCCTGTGGCGTATGTGGGCCAAGGCTTCAGCTGCAACTTAGATGGTTTGGTTTCTCCTAGTATTCTCCACACTCAAGCAGAGTTCAGTGGGCAGAGAGGGAGCCAAGAGTGGGGTGTGGCAGGACTCAGGTCTTTCCTGTCTGAGCAGGTCCACTCAATTCAAGGAACAGGCCCAGGAAGATCGAGGGAGGGGGTGATGGGCAGGATTTGGGGGCTGAGAAGAGCCCATACTCACCTGAAGTGGAGCTGGCGCCATTTTGCAAAATGTGGTTTTTCTCTGGCCCTGCTAGATCCCACTGCCCTTCTCTGCCCAGAAGAAAAATGAAACACTATGTTGGTTAAATTTGTTGGCTGGCGACTTGGGCTTCTTATTCTTAACCCATAACTACTGATCTATGTATTACCTTGTGGCCTTATTTTACCAGAGAAAAGGTCTTGGCCCCTTACTCCATGCTTATATATGAGTGGGTGTGATGTATAATATATATATATATATATGTATGTACATATATATGTATGTATATATTAGTAAGTGTGGAAGGTATATATATATGAGTGGTAAGTGGGTGTGGTATGTCATATGGATATATAGAATATATATGCATACATATAGTATATTAGTGAATGTGAAGATTTCTGTATATGAGTGGGTGTGTGGCATATATATATATATATATATATATATATATATATATATGCCTACATGTCTACCTGCCTGTATGTGTGTTTAGAACTTGAACTGTTTTTTGAGGCCCTCTTTTGTTGTTTACAAAACAGGATCCTGGTTTCTTTTCTTTGTTTATTTGGAGAAAGGATCTCACATATCTCAAGCTGGAGTGGAATTTAATATGTAGTTGGGGATGACCATGAACCACCTCCAAGTGCAGGGATTACAAGTGTGTACTTGGTTTAGAATGAATTTACTATGTAGCCAGGAATGATCCTTGTCCACCTCCCAAGTTCTGGGATTACAGGTGTGTCCCTAATACACCTGGTTTAGAGTGAAACATCCGTTAATATCAAGAAGGGCCTCCTGATTTACTCATGCCCACTGAAAACACGTGGTAATCCCATTCAAAATCCTGCTAAAGGAAACGTCTGTGTCCCAGACATGTCAAACAAATGAATACATTTACAGTAGCTTGATAGTGTGATGCTAAGCTCTATGCCAGGACCTGACATTTTAAAGATGGCACCAAAGAACCAGCATGTCACAGCAGTATCTTTTGACATCCATTTCCAAAAGCTTGCCCTAATATATTTATTACATGTTTAATGCCTCGGATAACCCGCTGTTCTTGCTGCTGTGGAGACTGGCCTGACAAGGGAGCCATTCCATTTACAGACGTACTGAGAAGTGTGGTGTTCCTGAGGGTCTGAGTCCCTTGCTCTGCTCCAAATGGCTCATTTAAATGAGAGAAAATATCACTTAGAAAGAAAAACCAAAGCCAAAAAAATAGATAAATAAATAAATAAATGAAAAGGAAAAGAATCTCTTGTTGTGGAAGCAGTGGTAGTGTGGCCTGTGGAGTCACGAGTCACGCACTTAACCCTGTAGTCCATACATCTTTACCTGTGTTTGTTGCTATGAGTTATTGGTCTGGTTCAAGACCTCTGACTTCTGCTACATTGTAGATAATGGGCCTCACCGGGCTCCTCTTGGATATCCGGTTGTTGTCCTGTGTCAGTTTTGGATCTGTAGGTTTGTCCCCTTCACATGCTCCAACAGTTCATAGATGTGGTAGATGTTGGGGTGTGCGAACTCACAGCCCTGTTTCTGGGCCTGGGTGGTAGCTGGGTTACCTGACACCTTGTGAGGTGGCAACACACAGTTTAAGAAGTTTCATACTAAAGTGTTGAAGCTGGCCCTGGGAACATGATGGTAGTATAGCATTCAGGAACATTAAGAAGTTTCTAAAAGTACAGTGACCAAAAAAAAATTAAAAAGCAAATGCTCAAGGACTCCACGGTGTTTGTGACAGCATTCACTGTCATTGCACAGCACAGCAACCTCGGTTCTGAATACAGAGCATGCACGGGGCTTCAGCATTAGCATATCTTAGGTTATATTGTATTTGTTACTTTTGGGTTGGGAGCCGGAGTTTGCATGGGCAGAGAGTAGAAGTGAGGGCTGGGAGATGAGTGGGATCAGTATGCATGATGTGAAATCCATGGAGACTCAATAGAAGCTGAGAAAAAAGTCTCACAGTTTCATTAATTAATTCTTCTTTCGCATCTTTTAAAGTATCATGCAACCCTTTCAGGGACACAGTTTAAACTTCAGAAAACCAAATGTCAGGGTTTATTTTAGAAATAAATGTGGTAACTGGGCACACATAAGCAGACCAGTATTTTTTACAGAACTAGGGATAGTGGCCATATACAGCAAGCATTAGCATGTGACACTAAAATTTGATTTTCAAGTCCTACAAAGTGCAATGTGGTACCCTGAGGGAGGAGGGTATTCCATTGGGGCGGGCCTGCATTTTGCAGGCATTGGCAAACATTTTGGTCTTACATCACCATCCTTACTGATGGTCACCAAACAAGAGAATTTCACTCTGGAAGAAGAAAGGGCTAGAAGTAAAGATTTGCTAAGATTGGTTGTGGCAGTCAATCTAATCTTACTCTTTTGTAGAGGAAGTACAACTCACCTTCCATATTGCTTTATTATGTTCCCTTCTCAATACAGTTGAGTCATTAATACCACATACACACTTCCTATTTCATTTGACTTTAGTGTTAAGACTAAGCCAATATCAAACATTATGGATTTGGTACAATTTTCACTGTTGTTTCATTGAATGATGGATGGTGAACCTAGGTACAATGCTGTGAGTCACTGTGTGATCTTGCTTTCCATTGCTGTGATAAACACCATGACCTAAAACTACTTGAGGAGGAAAGGGCTTCTCTATCTTAGCTGTCCCAAACACAGGCTTATTAGGGAAAGTCAATGCAGAAACTCAAGCAGGGCCAGAACTTGGAGGCAAAAACAGAAGTAAAGACCTTAGAACATAGGTTTTCAAACTTCTTAATGCTGTGGTTCCCTTATAAAGTTCTCATGTTGTGCTGACACCCAACCATAAGATTATTTTTGCTGCTACTTCATAACCATTTTTTGCACCTCTTATGAATCCTAATGTAAATATCTGATATGCAGGATATCTGATATGTGACCCACAGGAGGTTGTGGCCACAGCTAACACTGCCCATGGACATCAGATGCAGTAAGACCATGAACTCAGACATACCCTTCTGCAGCAGCTCGGGTCTAGATGTCACCATGATTTTGGTGGCAGCACAGACCACCTGGATCAGCATGGCCCTTGGACACCAACATGACTCCGGGTAGCAGCCCATACCCCTGGCATCTGCATGACCTTCAATGGTATCAGGAATCACAGACATCAACAAAGACCCTGACTGCAGTAGGGTCACAGACAGTAGCCCTGGCCCAGATGACACCATGGCCCCATGTGACAGTGCTGGCAACTCAAACAGGCATGGCACCTGTGGTGGCACAACCCCTGAACACTATCATGGTCACAGACTATGGCTTAGACCTTTGGTGGCAACAGGAGCCACAGGACATCAACACAGACCTTAGCTGTGGCAGGACAATGGACCCAGACATGATCTCCAGAAGTAGTCCATGCCAGGATGTTAGCAGGACCTCAGGTAGCAGTACAGGCCACCAAGATCGACATGGCTCCCAAGGCAGTGTGGCCCTTGGACACCATCATGGTCCCCCATGGCAGCCCAGACTACCGGCCTCCGCATGACCCTCAGTTTAGGGAGCCACGCACAGGAATTCACATTCTTTCAAACCCAGGAAACAACTAGTTGATTTTTTTGATTCCTCTATAAAGTTTCCAGATTATCATAACTGGTATAAAGTTTGTTGACTGGAGAGGAATGGCACAGAAGATTTCAAAATTGATATAGGTTTTGCTGATCAGAAGAAAAGAAAAATAAGAATCCTACTGAAATTAGGATTATAATTGATAGATTTTCTTTTAATGTGCCTGGAGAAATCAACATAAATTTACATGTTTCATCTAATCAGTAAAGGAGCAAAAGGGAGACTGTAAAGTAGCAACAGGACTTGAAGAGCCAACCACAGGTAGACTCACCTTCACCTGGAGGGCTCCTGATACTTGGGGAGTCCCATTTGTTTCTACTGGTGTGTATGTGTGTAACTCTTGAGTAATTGATTACAAAATATATCAGACCACCCTAATTTTTCTTTCAAGTTTGCACTGTTGACTTCAGTTGAGAGTTGGTGCAATACTAAATGAGACTCAAGTGCTGAGAAGATGAAATGAACTACCTAATGTCTTGGGGGTCAGGATTTGGGATTCTAAAATGCTTTTGCCCTGCTGAGGCACAGTTACTGAGACTTGGGGAAAGTGTTTGTCTGTCTATTATTTGGGTTTTACTCTGTGAAAAATAGAAAATAATAAAGTCTACCCTTAGATTCTAGTATTTGATGTACAGACTTTAAATGGTTTATTCTGTTGAATGTGAATATTTAATATGACTGAAAACCTACATAGTATATGGGAATGGGAAAATGACTTGATGATTAAAAATGTTCTCAAGTTTATTTCCTAGAACCCATGTGGGGTGGTTCATAAATGTGGGCAATTCATCTCTAGGGACTCCAACACCTTTTTGGGGACCTTCAAGTACTGCTTCAAGTAGCGCGCGCACACACACACACACACACACACACACACGAATAAAATTTAAATCTAATATAATAATATATATTAATATAAAACAAAACATAATAAGCCCAAACCAGAAGATCTGCAAAAAGGAAATATTTTATTGTTGTGATACAAGTTCTTCTAAACCTCCACTGAACAATGGAACAAAAGCTTATAACAAATAATACATCTGTGCCTGATTTATTCATAGCAATTTTACTTTAGTGGCTGTGACAAAGGAATTTACATGTAATAATGTTGAATTCTTCAAAATACTTGAGATCAAACAAAATAGGTTCCTAGGACTGTATGTTTTCCAATGTTGAACAAGGTCCACCATTGTGTCTGCAGTGCTGAAGAACTGGATCACTCCAGCAGATCAGTTGGTAGTCACAGTGGGTGGCTTCTGGCTGTGTCACCTAAAGTAGGGACACACAAGCAGGAAGTAGTATGCCTAGTGATTATGCATATCATCTACTGGCTCATTAACACTTAACTTGCAAAACACAATGGGGGAACAGCAATAACTTGGATCAGATAAGAGCCACATTGAAGAAATTACACCCCTCAGTTGGCCTAGCCTCAGCTGGCCTCTAGGCAAGTCATGCAATATTGTCCTGATTAATGGTTAGTGTCAAGGGCTCAGCCCATTGTTGGTGGTGCCTCCCCGGGCAGGTGGTCCTAGAGTGCATAAAAGAACAAGGCTAGCAAGACAGTGGGAAGGGTTCCTCCATGGTCTCAGTTCCGCTTCCTGCATCCTACTTCCTGCTTGAGTTCCTCCCCTAAGTTCCTGCAATAATGGACTGTGATTAGCACGTGTGAGCCAAAAACATTATTTTTTTCCCAGGCTTCTTTTGGTCATGGTGTTTTATTATTGCAGTAAAAACCAAACTTGTACATACAGTTCACTTTAAAAGAGGGAGAGAAGGGTCATGTCAAGAGGTAACATTCTCCCTTCATGAAATAACATGAATCATCTTTGACATATCTGTTTGTTTGGGTACTGAAAAAACATCTGGGGTCAGTCAAACACTTGCCTTTTACTGGATTACCTCAAAATAATAGACTATGTAACACATTAGTAGTAATTACTCTCGATGGTTCTGAGGGGTGGGGATTGAACCCAGAGTATACTCCACGCCAGACTAATGCTCTATCTATTACTCATGGTTGTTAACTTTTACTTTTCCAATTATAATTTCACAGTTTCTCTTTCCTATTCATCAATGTCAATGGTATTATCTCAGAGAATGGTATTACCTCAGAGAATATAGCATTGGTGATGTAAAATATCCATAAACCTTCTCAGCGTTGTGCCATGTGCATAGTGACAGCCTCTCTATCAGTATTACCAGCCCAGCACACATGTGGACACCTACATGTGGGTAGAGATGTTCCTGTAAATAATATATTTTATTAGTAGCCAAATCAGACTAAATTAGGCAGCTAAGGACTACGCACTATGTGGTTTGTCTACAATGACCATAAGAGGTGCATCTGTAGAGACAGAAAGTATATTAATGCCTGCCAGGGGCTGGAGGGGCTAAGAAAAGCTTACTAATGAGGACAAAGTTTCCTTCCACAGGGATGAGAATGTTCTGGGATTAGATCAGATATGGGGTTGCATAACGTTATGAGAACTGAAGAGGTGCTTAAAGTGGTGTGTTTTATGTCACCTGCATTTTATCTCAATAAGAGCTCATGATCTGTTTCAAAGTTTGAGATATTCATATATAAAATATGTATGAAAATGGAAAACAGTCAATGCTTCTCTCTTTTCAAAATTATCTTCATTATACCCACAGACATTTGCTTTTGTTTACCATGAGCAATTGGTTATATTCTTTTATAAGCAGCTTTGCAACATTGCTTCTTTAAATTCAGTCTCATACTTCTTGTTTGTCTACTGTGTTCTATGTGTCTCATTTACCAGATTTCATTCCCTATGGTAATATGGCTCTTTATCTTCAAAATGTGGGGTCTATTCTACTTAAGCTAAAGACCTTGATGTTTCATAAAAGTTTCTAAAGATATAACCAAGTTGAAATCATTTCAAGGTACACCATAACATCCAAATTTCTACCACCAGCATTTACCCTGCTGCTGATATACCTGCTCTAAAATGCACATATCTGCTTATCCATCAGATCAATTAAAGCCAAAAGCAGTCTTTAATCTTGCTTGGTGTCTTGATAACACTTGATCTTGGTTATAATTATGACTAAAATCTTTGCCATTTTTTTTTACCATGGGCTTCATCTCTCTTTAAATTTTTGGTCAGTGAGCAGATAATATGCATCTGTGGAGGGAGTGCTCATCCCTTAAAGGGATGTCTATGTTACACTCGCTCCTCTTATGGCTCAGAGATCACCACGGAAAAGGGGGCATAAAGATTTTAAGAGCAAGAGGTGGTGGGTGACGACAGCAGAACAGTGTATTCCAGAACACCGAGAGGGACATTGCACATAGGAACTCACAGTAACTGGATTATATGTTCGAGACCTAAACATGGCCAAGCAGACAAAATCTCAATATGATTAGGGAAGGGTGTTACAGAGCTCCACCCCTAGCTGAGGAGATATGGAAAATTGATAGCTGCTGGGACAGGGAGAGCCTGGGTCTCTTCAGGGATGAGCTACCTAAGTTCCAGTAGATTGCCCTGCATTTGTGCACACTCTGGCAAAATAAGTGTCCTCTTTTTAAAAGAAGAGAACATTTAAGAGTGGGAGTAAATAGCAGTGTGGGCTATGACAAAAATTGGAGGGGAGGGAATTGAGGTAGACTTGAGCAAGAACACATTATACTATGCATATATGAGATTCTCAAACAAAACTTCAGATTTACAAAGTACATTTCTATTTATTCTTTAGGAACTATACATTTATATTGTATTTCCATCATATCTACTCTCCATTCCAGCTATCTCCATTATTGTCAGTTGATTTCTTGATGATAGCCATTGTGGCTGAGGAAAGGTGAAATTCCAAACAAAGCCTGTCTGACGGTCAGAGAGTAGGAGCAAATCACTGCCACCCCTTACCTCATCGTCTCCACAGACAAGAGAGTAAGTTCCTGTTTCTCCCTGTTTATATTCTGTTTCTGCCCAGCTACCTCACTTCCTTTCTGTCTCACAGACCTCCAGATCTCTATGGTTAGCTAGTGGCAAGCTCCATTCTGAGCTTCAGAGATGGTCACACAAGATATCACCACAAGTTTTAAATTGCATTTCCCTATTGGCTAATGATACTGAACATTTAAAAAATGTTTATTATCTATTTTCATTTCTTCTTTTGAGAATACTGTGTTCAGGTCCATAGGCCATTTTGATGTTGTTGTTAGTTTGATTAGGTCTTTCATTTTCTTGATGCTTAGTTTCTTAAGTGCTTTGTATGTTCCAGATAGCAATCCTCCATCAGATGTTTAGCAGGTAAAGATTTGCCTCCATGATGTGGGCTACCTCTTCAGTTGAGTGAAAGTTCCTTTTGCTGCATAGAAGTTTCTGGTTTAATAAAATCACATTTGTTTATTGCTGATATTATTTCCTAAGTCTCTGGGTCCTGTTTAGAAATTCCTTCCTATAAAGCATTTGACACTTCCAAACCTCACGTCATCTCCCACATTGATTGCTGTTTAGTTTCCGTTCATCTCAAAGATTACTCTTTCCTGGGACTATTTGTGGTTTTGCGCCAATTCTTACACGTTTACATTATAACCCACATTCTGTAGACTGGTTTCATAATCTGCTTGATGTTGCTCAATCCAACTACCATTCAGTGACTCACATACTTCTATTTGATTATAAGGTTTGTGATTCCAAACCTAGTACCTACTCTTCCATGCAGCATCACAAACTCATACTCTCTCCCACCACCTGCCCGTGCTTTGTCTCACACTGAGCAGGTCATCTTTGCCAATTTATATCACAGAAGAAATAAAGTACAGCATACATTGAAGAATTTAGCAGTATACAAGAAGAGGTGGTCCCAATACCTTCTTTTTGAGAGCTTATCAAAAAAGCAATACAATAAAATAATTTATAGTCAAATTACAATTTACTGACCTGAATCTATGAAAGTGAATAATGAGTAAAATATACTTTCTAAATGGAGAGGCTAGAGAGGGATGTCCCAGTAGTTAAGAATGCATGCTATTACTCTTCCAGAAGACCTGAGTTCAATTCTTAGTACTCACACTGGAGGGTTCACAGGCCAGTGTGGTTGGCTCCAGAAGGTCTGACGCCCTCTTTTGCCCTCCACAAACACCTGTGGTTATCTGTATACTTCCTCCCCCACCCCAGCACACATAATTAAAATTGAAATAAAGTATCTAAAAAATATCCAGGTTTGGCTGAATTCAGTTTTTCCTTGGTATCACCCATTGGAGTCTGATTATTGTTTGTCTTTCTTACTCTACCCACAGCCTGTCAAAGACCTAGCATCGTGCTTGGCATGAAAGGCAACATAGAATCATTCTTCCCAATTTGTACTCCACTACAAGAGTCAAACTGACAATTAGATATCCCATCCCAAACCAGATTTTTACCACCCATAAAAAGAATAAAACAAATGAACAGCTTAGAAAGGGTGGCAATTCTTCTCCAGGGATCCCAAGTTGCCCAACAGCCTCTATAAAATGCTCTCATTTTGCCTTCTGGCTGAGAATGACCTCACAGTGGCAGGCAACAGCGGGGTTATGTATAGAGCATTGCTCTCAAAGCAGGCTATCTGGGTTTAGGGCTCTTAGCTATTTATTTTCCCTTAGTCACTAAAAGAGAGCAAATGCACATAGTTGCCTTCTACTTTCCAAATAAGCCCAGCCTGTGTAGCCATAAATTCTCTCTTTATTTATAATAAACAATCTAGATGACCAAGTACATACTGTTAAAAGCTGTTTCAGGATATCTTTGGCTGCTACTAAACTCAATCATGGTTGGAGACTATTTGCTAAGAGGTCTGACCAAGGCCAGCTTTTATGGGCTTAGAGAACCATAACCCTCTAAAGGATAGTATGATTGATTTTTGAAAGGCAGGCCCTCCAAATAGACATTGCTTCTCATTTGAGTCCATGGTATTTTTCTTACCATTCTGTTGTTATTCTTTATAAAGTCTCTGCACCTCACTTTTTAAAAATGTTATGCAGAGCAGAGATGCCTAGAAACACCTAACTTATTTGTTTTGCAATAGAATCCATGCCACTTGTCTGGGAGGAGTGAGGGAGGGGTAACCAGTAATCAGGATATATTGTATGGAAAAAAATCTATCTTCAACAAAACAATGATAAAATTGGGATCAGTCCTCAGTTTCTACAGTTCTATCAATTCTTTATCCTGGATGCATCTTTCAAATCTGAGTGAAATCTATAAATTTCTTGTTCACTTACTCTAAATGTTGATGACTAGATGAAGCTCAGAGCTGCTTGGCAAGACTTGGTTCAAATTTTAGATTACACCTTTCTTCTTATTTTCCCACCACGCTGAGGGAACAGCCATCATTTGGAGCACATCTGGTCCTGGTGAAGGAACTACCAGCTACAGACCTAGAAGAACCAGTGGTGAATTCCATTCCATTAAAAGCCTGGATCTAAGAAATCAGATGGATGAGGAGACCAAGGTTCCAATCTGCCAATAGTAGAGAGAATGAATTATCCCTTCCTCCATCATTTGCTTCTAATTTTATTACATTTATTCAATCCTTCATTTTTTTTCTTTGTGTATGTGGGTACTCATGCAGGAGGTCAGAGAGAAACTTGTAGGATTCTGCTATCTTTTCCTACCATGTGGGCACTGAAGATAGAATACAAGGCTTCAGGCTTAGCTGAAAGGTCCTTACCCACTGATCTACCTTATGTTCCACCCTTTGCTTCTATTCTGGCCTGAGGTGACTAGATGATGCCCAGCTCAAGGATACAACAATTTGTCTCTCTAATCCATGGTTAGAATGATAATTTCATCTGGAAACATCTTCAGGACACACCCAGAATAATGCTTAATCAAATATCTGCATCCGCCTTTGTTCTGTTATATTTATTTTCAAAAAGCATCTTTATAGTGAGGACATGGACTCACATAGGCCAGGTACCTGGAAGCAGGAGTTGATGCAGAGGCAATAGAGGGGGCTGCTTACTGGTTTGCTCTCTACAGCTTGCTCATCCTGCTTTCTTATATAACCTAGGACCATCCAGTTCAGGAACGGTCCCACCCACAGTGAGCCCTGCCCTTCCATATCAATCACTATTAAGAAAATGACCAACAGGGTTACCTGCCTACAGCCTGGTCTTATGGTCTTATTTTCTCAACTGTGACTTCCTCCTCTCTGATGACTGTAGCTTGTGTCAAGTTGACATAAAATGAGTCAGTGGAGGTGACATGGTTCTGCCATTTCTATATTGCATTTCCCTTAGCTGACTACAATATGTCATCACCTTGCACTGCTCCCTCCAGTCAATTGTGCAATAAATAAATAGCTACTAGTGATCAAACAGGAAATCCTTACCTGTGACTATAAATTAGAGTGTATTCCCTAAATTTTCTCCTACTATTTTTAGGTTATCAATCTTATGATGTGATCCTCTATTTGCTGTTGAGTTTTATACAGGGTGAAAAATAAGGAACTGGTTTGATTTTTTATGTATATTGGAATTCAAGTTTTCCATCAACATTTGTCAAAGATTTTGTCTTTCCTCCCGTGTATATTTCTGGTATCTTTGTCAAGGATCGGGTACTGGTGGCTGAGTAGAGTTATAGCTATTCTGTTATCTGTGTGTCTGGTTTTGTGTCAGTGTCATGTCATTTTCAATACTATGGCTTTGTATTAAAATTTGAAATCAGGTAGAATGGTAACTCCAGCACTATCCCCTCAAGAGGATAATATAATTCTAAACATATCCACTCCAAACATAGCTATGCACAGTTTCATGAAACAAATACTATTAGATACAAAGTTATAAATTAACCCCAACACAGTAATTGTAGGTGACTTCAAAGTCACACTCTCACCAATAGATGTGTTATCCAGTAAAAACAAGAGAAACACTGGTGTTGAATGACATCATAAATCAAACAGACCTGCAGATGGCCATAGAACATTCCACTCAGACAGTGCAGAATACACATTCTACCTAGCATCACATGGAACTTTCTCTAAAACAACTGAAAATTTAGGACACAAAGTGAGTCTCAACAAATATAAGACTCCTGTAACAATTTCTTGTAGTGTACAACACCACAGTGGAATAAAGATAGACATAAAGACTGGGTAGAAATTGCCTCTGGATATGTTTTTGGTGAGAGATAGCACCTAAAATAAAGGAGGTGACAGATGTTGATCTTGATTGTCTACCGTAAGTAGATGGTACGACCGCATTTCTAAGAAGGTCATGCATTTGGTCAGGAGACAGAGAGATCAGTCTTGGGCTGACCAGGAAATTCTCCTTGCTAACTGTCTTTCACAGTGCTGGAAGGTTATATTCAGGCTTCTGAGACAAAAAGACACCATTGGTTTTAACCAGCTGTGAAATCTGATGGCTACAATACCAACATGCTTCTCAAGGTTTACCCTCTAGGGCAATAATGACACAACTGTTATAGGGAGATCCAACTGATTTCTTGATTGAGTTTGAGACCTGTTCTGTAGGAGGGAATTCATGTCAAGTAATGTAAATTTGATCTGATAAAACTTTACAATCATCTTCAATGAAGCTTCTGAATTTCATCAAAATATATGCTCTGAGAAAATTCAAATGACATCTTTCCTTCATCTTCAAAAATGTGTTTTTATTACTTTTTATGTAGAAAAAAGCAGTGTTTCCTGGAAGTCAAATTCATTAACATGAGATCCTGTTACAAGCCATCTCCAGGAATCCCATCTAGCTTCATTTAGTAGCTTAAGCAACTTCTTGATGTTACTATTCAATATTCTAACAGATATGACTGTGGCCACAGGCACACCCAGGAAGCCAATATTGACTGTGAGTCTTGGCATCTGTCCCAACATTAGAAAAGCTATTGCTTTTCTATATGCTCTATGACCTCAATTCTCCAATGGCTCCAAGAAACAACATTGGCAATTCAAGTTGCTTAGTTGTTTTGAGTCATAGAGGCAAAAATGACAGCTTACAAACCCATTCTATGTCACAGATGAAAATTAAAAAGAAGTTTAACTTTATAAACTTTTTAAAGGTAAACATCATGTTGAGGAAAAACAGTTGTGACCATAATCAGAATAAGAGGTTGCTACTTGATTTTGAAATAAATTTATTCATTTATTTTACATCCTGGCTGCAGTTTTCCTCCCCTCCTCTCCTTCCAGTCCCTCCTTCCCCCACCCCCTTCTGTCCTGACCCCAATCTACTCCCCCTCCATTTCTATTTAGAAAAGGGCAGGTCTCCTATGAGTATCAACAAAACATGTCTTAACAAGTTGCAGTAAGACTAAACATCTCTTACTGCAACTTTATAAGATACTTGATTTTTATTTCATTCATTTTTTTTTACTTGAGCAATCATAGCAAGCTTCCAAGCAAGCATGCAAAGTAAACAAAGAGCTTCTTGAAGCCAGGGGTAATCAAAAGTGAGTTCTTCAATATTTGTAGTTTACAGAAATCTCTTAAAATCAATTGAGTCCTAAACTGATTCCTTAAATATATCTTCATCTAAATGATCTTGAGTTTAGTGTTGACATTCAGATATTTTTCTTCTGTATGGTATGAACTAGGATATAATTTCAAACTTTACCATATGAAATGATCACTTATCAATAACTGAGAATGAATTGCTAATCAAATAATAACTATCAATTAAATAATGGTTTACATGGCACAAATTCACTATTTTATCTCTTCTTTTTCATCTTTCCCATTACCGTGTGTCTGTAACAAAAGGAAGCAGATTTAGATTTATCAAAAAATAAAGGGGAAAGTTTGTTGCTTCAGTTTAATAATTGGTAGGCTCTCTCCAAAGAATGTCACACTTAATGCTGCATGTCCTCTGGGCTTTGGGAATAATGTTTAATTGCAGATGGTAGCCTTCTTGATAAGACACCTATTGTAGGTGTTATATTTTAAACAAGAGGCTTCTCTGGTTTTCCTTTATGTGTCTCTAGTGCATAAAGTTTAGGCAAATATTTATAAGTCAAGCAACAGACAGCTTTGTGCCAACAGGTTGCTAACTTATCTATTCTACAAGTTACAACCAGATTTGAAGTTCAAGTTACTTCATGTTCAAATTTTTATTTACTCTTGCTATCTGATATTATCTCATCTTTAAATTATTTTATAATTAATGGGTAGTAATTCATTATTTTCACCTACTTGAATTTGTTGTTGAACTAGCCTTGAGAGAAGTACTGACTAATACACTAAGCTTTTAACAGAAATTAAACTTTTTAGTCTAACATGCATCTTTGAGATTCTGCCTCAAGCTCACTCAGTCTGTACAAAGTGTGAAGGGGTAACTAATATGTTGGCCAACCCCTTGTCCCATAAAAACTCATTGTATAACCAAACATGTTGAAATTCCTATCAAAAAATCAACTCTCTACATCTGGACATGGTGAGATTGCCACACAGCTTAGTAGTTCAAAGTCAGCTTGGGGCTACATAGCAATTTTGGTCTAGAAAGAACGAAGCAGGGTTAGGGGGAGGCTCTGGAAAAAGTGCCTGCAGGGCAAGCATGAGGATCTGAGTTGGAATCCCAGCACCCACATAACAGCAAGTGCAGTGGTGCATGCCTGTAACCCCAGCACTATGTGTGCAGAGACTGGCAGACGTGCAGTTTCCTGGGGCTTGCCAGTCAACCAGTCATGACTAAATGACAACTTCATGTTGAGTGAGAGACCCTGTCTCAAGAAATAAGGTAGAGAATGGGAGAGGAAGATATCTGAAGTTGATACATTCAGAGGTGAAGACATAGAGGGAGGAAGAGAGAGAGAGAGAGAGAGAGAGAGAGAGAGAGAGAGAGAGAGAGAGAGAGAGAGAGAGAGAGAGAGAGAGAGAGAGAGAGAGAGAGAGAGAGAGAGATTAGGTTGAATACACAGGAACAACAAGAGTCAAAGTCACCCCTTTTCTGTTCTGTTTTGGCTGGGAATTGGAGAAGTTCTTGACAGTGTGTCCTGATACTTTAGGTAGCCATGTGCTTTCTTTTGATTGCTACCCAGCTCTGTCCTAAGCCATCCTGAGCACACAAAGGGAGTGCAGATGGAGTTAATAGAGCTGCAGAATTTCTGAGGCTATCTGCAGGGCAAAGTGTGTCTGAGACACCAGGGCTGCTTTGGCTATGTGGCTCATGCTTCCAGAAAGAGTAATGGAAACATTAAAGAAATTTAGACACTTGTAGAAATGACCTGGAAATCTACAGTGACAAGTGACCTAGCTATTCATCCTCTGTCCAAAACTGGTCTCCACATTCATACTCCTGTCCCCAGACAACTGCAGAAAACTAGGATGAAATGATAGGAGACTGGACACTTCTATTTCTACAGTAAAAAAGTCTTCAGAAATCCTATCTTTGAACAATTGAACCAGCCTTTCTTTTTCCTCCCTTTCTTCTAATTTTATTTTTCAAAAAATACATTCTGGCTTTTGGAGATGAAGTCTTCTATAGCCAAGGATGATCTTAAATACCTGATCCTCCTGCCTCTAACCCTCAGGTGCTGGGTTTACAGGCAGGTGTCAGCACACCAAGCCTATGCCATGGAACCTTGATCCATTTTTTTTATGGTTGACCTTCTTGAGGAACTCAAGAAAAAGTCAAAGTTAACTTCAGTGTATGGATGTCACACACAGCTTCTATGTGAAATTTCTGAGGTTTCCCTGTGGCTTCTTCTCCTTTAAAAGAGGGATGTGCAGAACTTTCCCGACCAGCAGCCAAGGGTGGAGGATGGAACCCCTAAGGGACAGTGGGGAGGTTTGTGATAATAGCGGGACTTGAGAAAAGGCGAGAAGAAACACAGGTGCCACCCCTGCCCATTCCTGAAATGCTGTCCTATGGGGTCTTTTGACACCGTCAATGACTCCTTACTGTGTTTTCAGCAGAGGTGGAAAGTCGCTTCCTTTCCTGAGATGTGGCTGATATGAATGCCTTCAGAAGAATAATACTTTAGAAACACTGTGTAGCTAGTTCAAAAACACAGCCAAGACCACGATGGAGCTTCTTATCTGTCTAAGGTGAATGGCATCTTTGGATACAAGAAGAATCTTCTCCGTTTTTGATGGAATCGGAGATTTACGCAAATAGGAATGCAGTTGCTAACCCTCTTGAGAAACAGATCGAATGTGGAACTGAGTCTTATCAGATGATGCTGAATAGTCATTTGATTTTCTCTGATTTAGACCTTCAATAGAAAAGCAGCCAGAGAACCAATACAGAAAACCCATTGACTCAGGAAACGCAGACATGACTCCTGGAAGCACGCTATGAGCAAAGAAAATAGCTACTTTAAGCACCCGATAAGTGATGTTAGATATTATATTAATTTTCTGCAAATGCAAAATTTGTCTTTTATAAGAGTATGTGTGTGTGTTTGTGTGAGCATGTGTGTGTGTGTGTGTGTGTGTGTGTGTGTGTACCCTTGTATGTGTGTGCCCAAGGAGACCAGAAGAGGGCATCAGATCCCCTGATGCATTTACAGGAGGTTGAGAACCCTCCTCTCTCCCCCAACTTGGGTGCTATGTACTCTGGTTTTGGATGAGTAGTTTCTTCAGCCACACAATTCCAATAAACAAGGTTAACTAAAATTTCTGTTGCTCTGAACTTGAATTGGGAGTGTCACAGTTTTGATTATTTAAAATGGATAGAAAAGAATGTGAGCATACACACGTGCACACAAACACATATGCACACATGTTTGAATGTTTGGTATCCAGAAAGGAACAAGTGACTAGAGGAGGCAGGTTTTTGCTCAGGAAAATTAATTTCCTTGTGACTCTTAATTAAAAATATAGGAGTGTACACCTCTAATATCCCAGGACTCAGGAGGATAGTTCTCCAGCCTGGTCTACAGAGTGAGGAAATATATATATATATATATA